TCTGGTCAAATTTAAATAAATAAACAAATAATTCTTAGGGAAAAAAAGAATAAATTTCGGCATGGCCAGTCCTTCTTAGGGGATGATTTCTCACTTTCCCTCTCATTGTCTCTGTCTCTCTGGTGAGTGCATGGACCCTAAGGCAAAAACCTCTAAAAATAAAAATTAAATTAAATAATTCCTTTTTTCTTTTCTTTTGAGATTTTTGCTACAGGGTGTGTGCGATCACCAGAGAAATAGAAAGCGAGAAATCACCCTCCGAGGGCATGGCCACATGGCAATCCCTTCTCCATTCTCTCAGGATTTTGGCCCCGAATATGCTTCCAGTGTGCGTTTCAAGACTTTGGGTCCAGAACTCAAACCACAGTGGGTCATGCAGAAGTCCAGTGACATAACCATTACACAATCTGCTGGTCCTAAAATTAAATAATAATAATAATTTTTTTTTTTTTGGAGAGGTGTTTGCTACAGGGCGTGTGTGCTCGCCAGAAAGGAGAGACAGAGAGACAGAAAGCGAGAAATCACCCCTCAGGGGGGATGGCCACACCGCAATCCCTTCTTCCCTGTTCTCCTCTCGAGATCCTGGGAACACACACACATGCTCGGTGTGAGTTTAAGCACCAGGTCTGGGACTCGAACCATAGCCGACTACATGGGAATCCAGCGACACAGCCATTACGCCATCTGCTGGTCCAAATAATTCTCTAAACAAACAAATTCAAGTAATTCAACTCAAGTTATGAAAGCTACTCATTCATTCTGGGGTACCTTTTTTTTTTTTTTTTTTTTTTAAGATTTTGCCACAGGGCACATGTGCTCTTTGGAGAAAGACAAGGGGAGGGAAAGTGAGAAATTACCCCCCAGGGGAATGGCCACACCACAATCCCTTCTCTTCCATTCTCCTCCCTTGGTTTTGGGCACGCACGCACACATGGCCCATGTGACTTTCAAGCCACCAGGTCTGGTACTCACTGTGGTCAGCCATGTGGGAGCCAGTGCCTTAAGCACTACGCCACCTGCTGGCCCCTGCAGTACCTTCATTTTAAAAATTATTTTACTTTATCCATTTATTTATTTATTTAAATTTGGTCAGAGAGGAATAGAGTGAAAGGGAGAGTGAGAAAGTGAGAGAGCGAACTGCCAGGTCTGGGACCCAAGCTGCATTCAGCCATGGGGGCGTTCAGCACCCTTCACCACGCCACCTGCCGGCCTCCAGAACCTTTTAATTTTGGTTTCTATGACTGTAAAAGAAGAGGCTAATGATTTTCTTGCTTATCCCTGGCGGTCACTGGAGAGCGCATGGGAATGTGTTTTGTAAACTCTAAAGCGGAATGCATGGCAGTGACTGCCACCTGCGGTGAGGACTCCTATGTGGTTTGACAGAAAGGCCAGTGTGAGGTCCCGGGCTACAAGCGAGCTCTGGGGACTTGCAGGTGTTCTCTAAGGCTCCGGAGCCCCTGCCCCGCCTTCTGCCATCCCTCCTCCAGGCAGAACATGGGATTAAAAACCTTTCAATGGGGGGAACCAGCAGTTAGCGTAATGGCTATGTCGCTGGACTCCCACGTAGTCGACCGTGGTTCCCTTCCCGGACCCAGTGGCTTAAAACTCACGCCGGGTGCGTGTGTGTGCGTGCCCAAGATCCCAAGAGGAGAATGGAGAAGGGATTGCGGCGTGACTATCCCCTCTGGGGGGTGATTTCTCACTTTCTATCTCTATGTCTTTGTCTGTCTGGTGAGCCCATGTGCCCTACAGCGAAAACCTCTAAAAACAAAAACAAAAACAAACAAACAAAAAGCCTTTCAAATGGGGGACCAGCAGTTGGTGTAATGGCTATGTTGCTGGACTCCCATATAGTCAACCATGGTTTGAGTCCTGGACCCAGTGGCTTAAACTCACGCCAGGCGCATGTGCGGGTGTGCCGAAGATCCCGAGAGGAGGAGGAGAAGAAGAAAGAAGGAAGAAGAAGAAGCAGAAGAAGAAGAAAAGTTTAAAAAAGTTAAAATCCCTTTCAATGTTTGATTTTTTTAAAAAAAGAATTACTTTGTTTAACTTTATCTATTTTAATTTGACCAGAGAGGTACAGAGAGAGAAAGAGGGAAAGTGAGAAGATAGGCCGCAAGGTCTGGGACTTGAACTGCAGTCAGCCATGTGGGAGTCCAGCATCCTTAACCACCACGCCATCTGCCAGCCCCAGTGCTAATTTATTTTTAAAATAGTCAACTACAAAAAATGTAATTGGCTCGAGACCAGTCATTAGCGTAATGGCTATGTCAATGGACTCCCACGTAGCCGACCGCGGTTCGAGTCCTGAACCCGGTGGCTTATTAAGCCATGTGGGAGCCAGTGCCTTAAGCACTATGCCACCTGCTGGCCCCTGCAGTACCTTCATTTAAAAAATTATTTTACTTTATTTATCCATTTATTTATTTATTTAAATTTGGTCAGAGAGGGATAGAGTGAAAGAGAGAGTGGCTTATTAAGCCACTGGGTCCGGGACACGAACCGCGGTTAGCTATGTGGGAGTCCAGCAACATAGCCATTACGCTAACTGCTGGTTCGCCTGTCTGTCTTTCTGATGAGCGCACACACCTTATAGCAAAAACAAAACAAAACAGAAAAGCATAATTGGCTCAATTTCACTTCTTGTTAAGGATGAGAGAAATATGAAAATATATTTATTCAAGATAACCACAGAAAATATTCAGTATTGGCTACGTTCTTAGGCATGCTCTTGTGTTATCATTAACCTCAAAATAACCTTGTGAGGGAAGGGCCTAGAGACATAGAAATACATACACATTCAGAGGGAAAATGGGGCGAGCAGGTGGCATGGTGGTTAAGGCAGCTCGATCCCACATGGACGACAGCACAGTTCAAGTCCTGGACCTGGCAGTGTGAAAAACGCACTGGGCGCATGTGCGCCCAAAATCCTGAGAGGAGAATGGAGGAAAAGGGATTACAGTGTGGGCACCCTTTGGAGGGTTCAAATCCCAGACCTAGTGGCTTAAACTCATGCTGGGCGTGTGTGCGTGCGTGCCCAAGATCCTGAGAGGAAAATGGAGAAGGGATTGTGGTGTGGCCATCCCTCCTGGGGGGGTGATTTCTCACTTTCTGTTTTTCTGGTGAGCGCACACACCCTATAGCAAAAAAATCTCTCAAAAAAAAAAATAAAATAAAATAAACCAGTAATTCTTAAAAATGTAAAAAGAGCCACGCAGTGCTTGTTAGGGACAGGCTGGGCAGCTGCAAGGTGGCAGTCCCAGTTCCCCCAGAGCTCTGGGTCCCTACCAGCCTGACCCTTTACCCTGCATGGATTCCCAGGATGCTTACTGTCAGGCACATGGTGACAGCCCACATCACATTCCTGGCCAGGGCTGGCCAAGGACGGCCGGGGTCCACGCACCACCCCTGCTCCAGGTAGAGCAGCTTCTGGCCCAGGCCCAGGCCGAGCGCGGGGCATCATGCAGATGGTCTCTCCTCCCACAGAGGGAGGTTCCAGTGCCGCAGGAGGGGACTCTAACCAAAGGGACCCTGTCACAGCTAAACGCCTAAATCCCCTTCAGCAAGGACAGAGGCCTTTCCCTTGCAGAGACCAGGACGAAGCTCCTGGAAAGGAGAAAGAAAGGGTCTCTGGTAGGGCCTAGCGGGGAGCAGACCCGCTCTGCCCCAGCCTTACCGGGGCTCCCTACTCCAACTGGCCCAGACATGGCTGTGCACAGGCCTTCCTGCAGGCCCCTCCCACCCCAGAGCTGCAGGGCTGCAGGGCTGCTCCCCTCCCTGCCCCTCCTCAGGCCCAGCCTGGGTCCTGCTCAGCAAAGCGTGAAGGAGGCCCCCCAGGGGAGCCACAGGCGCAGGGCCCTTTAAATTATGGAGCAGTCCTCCTGGCCCCTCAGACAGGCCCGGGCCCCAGCTAAATAATTCACCGCCTCAGGAAGACCCAGTGGTTCCTGACAGCCGAAGTAGGTCAGGCATGGCTGGGCGGTGGGTGGCCATGGCTCAGAGCAGCTTCCCGCCAGCATGAGGGGCTGCGGGCTGGGAGGCCCTGCCACCCAGCCAGTGCCCAGTGGGCCTGATACAGTGAGCCCAGGGTATGTGGCTGTGGGGACATGGCGCCCTCCCTCCCTGGGGACACTCCAACTCCCTCCTTCCAGAGCCCCTCCGGGTTCAGGTGCCACACCCACCACCCAGGTACCTCCAGGGTTCAGGCAGCCGGGGCTGTCCTCCCTCCTCGGCACAGCAGCTGGGCTTAGTGACAGGTTCATCAGCAGTGAACAGGCGGACAGGACCAGGGCTCGGGGTGAGGCAGGGATGGGGACGCCAGGGTCACTACAGGTACAGGTGAGGAGGTTGGTGCCAGCTGCAGCCACTTCCGCCGTGCTCGGGCCAAGGCTGGGCTGAAACCCAGAGGGCTGATGGACCTTTCTAGGCACAGCTCTGGGTAGGGAGACTGGGCAGAGGGGGTGTGCAGGGGAGCACCTTGGGCCACGGGAGGAAAAAGCTGGAAATGCATCAGGAGGCAGAAATCCAGAGCCAGTTCACAGATGAGCAGGAACCTGGCCTGGAACCAGAATCAAGGCCGCTGCAGGCCATCCTGACACCCTGCCCCACCCCACTGCCTCTCCCCCTGCACCTCGACGCCCACTCGCCCGCTGGCTCTGGCCCCAGGAAGCACATCCCATAGACCCTAGCTCTAGGGTGGACTGGATTCCAGGGGCACAGCCTCCCACAACTCGGTGCTCACTCTGGGTGCGGAATGCCAAAACTGCAGAGGAGGAAGCAAGTGAATTAGCACAGGGTGAGCCGGACTGACGTGGCCCCGGGCAGGTCACTTCCCCTCCAGGACTAAGCTTCAACTGCAGAAGGGGGAGGCAGGAGAGGCCAAGTGAGCCCCGACCAGGTCCTGCCCTATCGCCCAGGCCTCCCACCTCCCCGGCCCCGGCTGTGCCCTCCAAAGGCACCGCCAGCCTGCAGCCCACGGAAGACGGAGGGCCGAGAGCAGGCACTCTGGACGATTGTTTTTATTTTGCATTTCATATATTATCCAGTTTCACATTCTCACAGGATCAGCAATTACTACAGCCACCTCGTCCCCCGCGTCCGGACCGGCGAGACGGGCACGGCTGCGGCCCACGGCAAAGCACGGATACACTCACAAACACAAAATACAATTGCACAACTCTTCCTTCCTTCACTTTCCTTACACTAACCCTGACACGAAGGCTCCCTGCTGAAGACTGGAAACCCTTTTCTTCTTCATGCCTCAAACTAAACATTAAACTTATCTGACAGGGTAAACAAGGTCTCTTTAATAATTAATGGTACACGCACAAAAAAATCCTTTATGATGCATAAATATTTTGTTATACAGGGTACAAAAATACTTCTCACGTTTTGGTTGGTTTCGAGGTTTGGAAAGATGAGGGGCGACGGCAGGGGGTGGGGGGTGTCTGTGGAGAGGTAAGCAACTCGGGCAGAGACAGGGTTTTCTCACAATGGCTGGCCCACCTGAGGAGGGGGGATTGAAGGGCCCCGATCTGAAATGAAAAAGCAAACACTAGGTACCCTGGGTGGTGGCTGGGCCTGGAGGGGTGCATAGGGGTGTGGGATGCTGGGCCATCAAGGCAGAATCAGCCACAAGCCTCGGTCCCCAATGAAGCAAGGTGTCGGGGTGGGGCGTGGAGGGACCAGGCACGGGGAGCCAGTGGTGGCCAGGACCTGTTGCTATGGTGACATGGCGTGAGAACAAACTGTACACTCACATATACACAGTTTAAGTGTCTTAATTCATGCCAGAAAACATGCAGAACTAAACGCCTTCCTTGAGGAGAGTTACAGAAGCAAGTCTGGGCGAGAGATCAGGCCTTGCAGGGTCCCAGTGAGGCCTCCAAGCAGGGTCTGGGTGTCCTGGGGAGAAGGCCCCCAAGTTCCCCTGGGAGGCCTTGGAGAAAGGCTTTGGGGTCAAACAGGGCTGAGGGGGGAGGGGGCAGGGGCGGGGAGCAGTCCATTGAGGCTGGCTTCAGTTCACAGTCTTTGGTGGGAGGCAGCAGCTCTGCCCAGCCGCCTGGGGCCTCGGAAGCATGGGGCGCCTGTCCTGGCACCGAGGTACCAATTCCCAGGACCAACTCCCCGGTGGCAAGACCTGGAGGGAGGAGAAGGAGCCTGAGCAGGAGGCTGGGCAGGGTTGCACCCAGGCTCTGCCCATGGCAAGGGGTCAGGGGCGGGAGGGAAGGAGCCAGTAGCCCGTGAGCAGGCTCCGCACAGCCGTGTGCTCGCCAACTCCTGGACACAGGCGGGAGGACCACGGCCCTGCAGGAAGCCAGGGCCCTGGACGCCCGGGCCACCTCTGCCGGACACTTACGAAGACTTAGCAGAACTGGCGGTACTTCCACCCTTGCTGCGTGCTGTCGGAGGACGGGTACCAGCGCACCTGCAAGAGAAGCCGCAGCCCGAGTGAGTCCTGCCCTCGGGAGCCCGAAATGTGGCCTTTGCTGTCCTGCTGGAGTCCTGTCACCAACAGGTGGACAGTTGTGGGGCCAGGACTCACCTCCAAGTTCCTCGTCCTGCGGGGGAGGGGGAAGTGCCCCCTGACCCACTGCCTGAGGCTGCACCGGAGGCTGTGGGCCCCTATCCTCGGGAGGCGGGTGAGCTAGAATGTTCGGTCCAGTGCTGCGGCTGTCCCCACTAGCTAGGAGACAGGGCTGTCTCTGGGTGGCTGTGAGGATCAGCAGGACAGGGTGCACCCCTAAGACCCACAGTGCTCTGGGCTGCTCGGGCAGGCTCAGGCGTTGGTCTCCATCCTTGCAGGGCTCTTCAGAGAAGCCGTGGACGGGCCCCAGCTGGTGTCACTTGGTTCTGACCTTTTCACACCTCCTGCTCCCTCCATTGCAGGACCCCTGAGCCTGGAGGCCTGCGACCTGCAGCTGAGCCCGCACATGGGTGGCTGGCAGCTTCAGGACATCTCGCCAATGCCGGGCAGGTACCACGTGCCAGCAGGTCAGAGCAGTAGCAGAAGCCCCCAAAGCTGGATTCCCAGAAGCGGGTCCAGAAAACAGGCACCCTAACCCCACAGAGCAGTCTGGAAGTGTGCTATGCCAGCCGCAGAGGCTGCCCACGCCACGCTGCCCAGGAGAAGCTGAACCTTCATTGAGGGGCCAGGGGTCCCCTAAGAAAGAGGGGGGTAGCACTCAAGAGACCTTGTAGAAAACAAGAAGCTGATGGGGCCAGCAGGTAGTGTAGTAGCTAAAGTGCTAGGCTTCCATGTGGCTGACCACGGTTCAAATCCCTGATCCAACAGCTTGAAACTCACACGGGTGGCATGTGTGTATATGCCCAAAATTCTGGGAGAATGGAGAAGGGATTGTGGCATGGCCATCCCCCCAGGGGATAATTTCTCACTTTACCTCTCTCTGTCTCTCAGTCTCTGTCTCTCCAGTGAGTGCAAATACCCTATGGTCAAAAAACCTTTAAAGAAAAAGCCAGGCACACAGAGAACACCCATTTGTCGTCTTGCAATTCCTGCCTTGGGTAAGCAGAGGAGACGCTGGGCAATGCCAGGCACTGGGGACTGAGGGAAGCCTCAGGCTCGCGCGTGCCCCCAAAGCCCTAGGTGCTGCTCTGCAATGCATAACCCCAGCAGCACCCCCTGCAGCTCGGTGGGAAGCCAGGGACTGTGGACCCC